AGAAACAGCCTCTTCAGTCGTACCTTACAAGGTAAAGAGTTTATATTGCCAGCCACTGATTTGAGATCCAGTCAGTCTCTCCACAGGGCTATCCATTTAGACTTACTTGCCCACAGGAGTTACCACCATCAATAAATCCTTATGTACCTTCATTTTTTTCTGTTGTTCTGACCTGCTGCTTTTCAGAAAGGCAGCTGTGTGATGTGGCCTGCACTTAAGGCCACATCCTGCAGGCACTGAGGCTGAGTTCACATATTAAGTTGAAGTTCCACTGACTTCAGTGACAGGCACACAAATTGACTGTGCTTCAAGAGATCAAAAAACAACTTACTGCAGTCAGTTTATCCATAGAGGATCATGTTGTCATTTCATAGGTAAGAAGAAGCTGCTTTGAAAACAACATTTTGCAAGCTACCATTACTTCTCACTGGAAGATGTTGAACTACAGCAAAGCTACTCTAGGGAGAAATCTAGCTTGGTTAGCTAAAGCTACTTCAAGTAATTCAGACTGCTTTATAAAAAAAAAAAAATCTACTTGTCAATGTACATGTGATAAATTATAACAGAAGTCATATGTCAGCAAAAAATACCACTAAGCTGAGTTTATCACCTCATACATAAACCTGTCCTAAATACAGCTATCCCATATGGGATTTTCCTAAGGACAACATTGCAAGGACTGTTATATTTTTATTGTGAGCAAATCTGGACTCTGTATCATCTCAATACATTTAAAACAGTAAAGAAAAAATATTTAACTTGCACCTTTTTAGACTGTTTGATCATTGGTAGAAAAAAATGGGTATTACCTGTCATTTTTGTAATATCTGACTTGTACAGTCTTAACAACTCAAACAGTGTTCAACTTGCACCTCTTTAGACGGTATGAACAGCTTGAGCACTGGTCTAAAAAATGGGCCTGTCTTTTTACTTGTCAGAGCAGAAATATGAGCCGTTTCTCAAAGATCCTGAACCAATTTGTTACTGAAAATGTCTGTGCCAACACTGAAAAGCTGCTGACATGCAGAATGTTAAAATAAAACATCAATTCCTTTCCCTTTATGTCCTAAAATTGTTTGTAGTTTCGGTAGTTAACTACACAAAGAATGGCAACATTGTAATTGCACTACTTTAGTTACTATGCAAATATTAAGGTAGTTAAACTACTGCAAAATGTAGATAAACTACTAGTTTTATTACATGTAGTTCACTGCTCCCCAACAGTGAGAATAGGAAGTGCTGGAAATTTAAAAGGTTTTAGTAGGAATATATTGAGAACTACTAATATAATTCTTGTCTACAAGTGTATCTGGGCGGTGACACACCGAGCCAACAGTTGGCCATCGGCTACCGTCAGGCCGTCAGTGAACATCTGTTGGGGCTTGTCTTCCCGGTGCGTCCTACACCGTTGGCACTTGTCGGACCCTGTCGGTGGCTTTTTGGCTGATTTGGCATGGTGAATCAGCATCAGGCTAATCGGCAAGAGGGACCACTCTGATTGGTTGTTCAGTTTAGCGAATCAATGCCCAAGAAGTGAAAGGTTCGAGGAAGCCCCTTCAGCCTGGCTGCGTAGTGTCCATGATTTCACCCATTTAGTGCGGTTTGTCCTTCTTTCTTGCTTCACAACTTCGTTTCTTCTCCCTCCACCAAAAGACCAAAGGCAGAGAACAGCAATGCCATTTGCAACTTCTTATCAGACATATCCTGATTAGAGGCAGCTATAAACAGCCGCTGTGTTGAACGACAGCTGCTTTGTTTACTGATTGTATTTCCACAACCTATCTCTTCTTCTTTCCCTTTGAGAGTGGCAAACACAGATACCGTCACCTGTTGGTAGGGGGAGATATTTATCTCACAAAGGTGCAGAATGTACATGCTAGTTGACCATTGGCTGTGGTCTGTACGGTGTGTTTAAGTGCCACTCTTTCAAACCAGTTGACCCGGACAAAGGCGATGTGAGGTGACCAGCAGTCAGCTCACATCACTGCTAGTTCTTTCACATTGCTTCATGGTATAGGGTTATTTTAGTCTGTTAATAAAAATGCAAATAATGTATGCATATATGTTGTTATCCATATAGTAACAGGAATTAAAAAATAACCCGGAGACAGTATTTAAATCAAAATGCACACTAAAGGTTATGTACTGCAGCATAACCAAACCGCAGCAGTTAATCTTCCGGCAGCAAGAATCAGAAGTAATATTCACACACTAACAAGCTAACATGCTAACAAGCACAGAATCTACTCTCTGACTGTGACATGAACGAGTCTGGTGAGCCCTGAAGTTCCAAAGCAGAATCTTTGTAATTCTTCAGCATATGGGCTGCAATTTGGCATATGCAGGAGTGTGAAGGGTAGCAAATCTGCAAAAGAGCTCGTAGTGGCAGTTGAGCTGAATATGCAGGTTGATATGCAGCTTATGTAGCTTCATATTAAGTCTAACAGTATGAGACTGACATTGATGTTCTCATGTAACACTCAGCAAAAAAGCAAATGAGCATATTTCCCAAGATGTCAAACTCTTCCTGTAAGACCGATGCCATTAGTGTATAAGTAAACCAATAGATGGTTTACTGGCTGATTTATTGGCTTCTGGAAACAATTTCTCAATATTGGACACAGAGGTCATGACCTGTCCTGGGAGAATAAGGGTGTGGTTACTTCATGGAGGGAACACTTCTGCTTGTTTTCTTGGTTCATTGCAGTATTCCCTTTTTACTACAAATGCAGTGGTTCTGATGACACCCGTTCTTCTGGAGCTCCTTCTGAAATATGAGACTTAGGAATCAATTTGCTGTCCCTATCTCTGCCTATAAAGTGGTCTGGAATAGTTTTGTTTGTTTGTTTTTTAAAATAATTAAATTCTACATATAGATTTCGGTTTTATGGGCCAGCACATTGTTTTAGTGGGCCCCATCATTTAGTATTGATAAAAACTGGAGGCCTTTTGCAGCCACACAGTGCATCTTGGCTGGAGACAATGGCCACTGGGTTTTACTGGTCTTCAGAAGGATGAAGACACAGACCCTAGACCCAGTCTGACATGCTATCGATGGTGGGGTCTGTAGTGTTCGGGTAGAGGGGCTGCATTAAAATGAAGGGGGAGTGAAGTGAGTTTTGGGATACCTAATATAACATTAGCAAATAATCTTTAGTGCATTGGGGTTACTTGGTTGGAAATTTAATCCTCTGTTATACTGTCATACTGTAGATATGTTTCTGTGAACAGACCCAAAGCCAAGAAAAGGGACCACAAAATCCCACATCCTACTTAAATATCCACATGACTCGCTGTGAAATTTGCAGCACTTTAAAGCAGCTTCTCTGTTGATGCTCGTTCATGGTCACTTTTTTCAGTCCTGCTGTGCCTTTTTGTTTTTGCTTTCAATGTTGCAGTGTTGGCCCAGTGTTTGTTGAGGGCAGAGGTTTTGTGTAGCAGGGAGGGCTGTTGCTGCAGTTAGTGTCTGATAGCTTGCCCTGTCTGCAAGAATGACAAGAGCTCAGGCAGAGATGTCTGGAAGGATTATATGACCTTGTGACACACATTGACAGACTTAAAGTGATGAAAAGTATTTAACCAGGAGGTCAGAATTATCTATCGCACTTGGGCTGTCAACTCCTATAAAGGGATTGAAAAGTAGGTTCCTGACATCAGCCATGCAGGGAAATGCATAAAAGGGCAGGTTGAGTTGTTGGTGAAACGTGGAAAACACAAGGGCAAAATTAAGAGGTTATGGTGGCAGAAGTGTAACTTCATAAATAATTAATTACGGATAGAAGGATGTGAAAACCCATTTTTGTCAAGCTAAGATCGTTTCCCCCTTGTAGACCTTGAGGCAAGTACATAGAAACTATATGACAGCATGCAGATGTCAAGACTGACACATTACATTTGAACTTGCGAGGAAGAGTAAACTAGCTTATATGAGCTTTACTAGGCGATGGCGTGTCTGCACACATATGCAAATACTTAAATTTATAGCAAAAAAGTTGGCTAATTAAGAAAGTTAGACCTGCAAACACCCTTCAGTGTGACAGCAGATTTAATGAGACATTAATGGAGATGTCTTCTTGCTCACTGCCTCCCTGTTCACCAGAAGAGAGGGGGAAAAGGGATCTGTTGGGTTTTTAATGAGCCTGAGAGCTGGGGTTTATCTGTAGTGGTGGCAGTGTCTCACAATGAATCAGTCAAATATCTACTCCACCCTCAAAGGCAGCAGTTATTACCTTACAGAACAAAGCAGAAGGAGCGATGTGTCCATATATACTATGATGCAGAATGCATATGCATGTTAGACTCGAGACTAATCGAAGTCACCTAAATCCACACTGGGAGTCTGCTGTACATCTTCATCTAGCATGTATACATCACTCAAAATATGCAGCTCAGTGTGTCATGTTTAGTAAAGCTTTGAACAATGAAAGCCCAGTTTGTTTGTCTTTTATCTGTTTTGTGTTATATAGAATCATGTTCTTCAACCATGATGACTCCTGAAAATGTGCTCTGATGCCATTATTTTAGTGCAACCGCTTTTGAACTCTGCAGGGACATTTGAAGCAAAGAGTTAATTATTTTTTTTTAATGTGTTCCTCCTCTCTTGGTTTTATGGCGGATTGCCTCAATTAAAATTACAGGTCTACAGGATAGTGTTTTTTTCTTTTTTGTGTTTTGTGGTGCGCCCTTTTTTTTTTTTTTTTTTTTTTTTTTTTTAATAGCCTGAAACGTGTGAGCATGTTCCGACAAGTGCTTGAATCTTTGTAAAGGAGTACTGGGCATGTCAGTCACCAGCAGCAGGCATAATATGTGACTGAGAGTCAGAATGCGTGACAAGCATTTGAACATTTTTACTCCTCTTGCCAGCTTTGTGATATCGGATTCAAAACCAAACACTTGGTTTACTGAATGGTCTTTTGCTTACAAAAAAAACCCCCTGTGTCATCTGTGTGACAGTTAAGAGATAATCTCTCTCTCTTCGGGTCTCACTGTTTCCCTCACAGTGCAACCGGAAGGTGCACAGGAGGGACCCACCTGCATGGACAAGAATCATGGCTGTGCACACATCTACAGGGAAACTAAGGGTGGCATCTCCTGTGAGTGTCGACCTGGATTCCAGCTCACCCGTAACATGAAGGACTGCAAATGTAAGTCACCTCAACCTCAAGTATAGAGTTTCCCTCTGTGAAAGACACACACACGCACACACACACAGAGAGAGAAGTAAGATTTATAGGTTCCTCATAAAAAGGTGATTGGGTTTGAAAACTTGCCGTTGTTGGATATTTGCTCTCATTACACAAATGCCTTCCAACAGTTCTGAAGTAGGCTACTGGCATTTATGTTACATTACCAAGCCTTGACTAATCTTCTGAACAGTCTTTGTAAAGAAAAATATGTCTATTAAATAAGGAATGAGCATTTACACAAGCAGGGTGATTGGGGAGGTTACGCGAAGGGGACTGCTCTGATGGACATCGCACACTTCCTGTTGCTGTGCAACAGAGATCATCCTGTCAGGGCTGGGGCCAGGGCTGATGGGGGATTTGTCTGTGTTTGGATAAGGATTGGAGAAGTGTTATTCTATAGTTTTTCTGTGACAGCCCAGGAAAAGGGCAAAAGGCACTGAGATGGTCGGGTGCAGACAGAATGGCGGTGGAAGGCTTGGCTCACCCATGCTCTTTTTCACTCTGTCATCACAGGTGTGTTAAAAGTGCCAAGGTTAATGCTCCCTTCACCCGCCGGCGCATAAATGTATCGGCACTTAAAGATGTGCAAAGACACACACACATGAACACACAAAGTTAGACTAGGATTCATATAGTGCTTTGCTCCTCATCTGTGTGGAACTGATCTGCCATGTGAGGGTTAAGACATGTCATAAGTTGTAAAACAAAGCTTTTGCTCATTTTGCAGAATTAACAAAATAGATTAATATGAAAGGTGTCCTAGCTTGTAGACTGATGCTCTTATTCACAGTGAGTGAGTGAGTAAATTCAGCCTCTTGCTCAAGGCCACCTCATCAGCTGTTGGAGTTTAAAATATGACCCCTCAGTTCCTCCACTACTGCAGTGTAACTCTTTATTCACAAGGATGAAACGATTTAGTACAGGGAGTAATGGATGAATAAAGCCAAGACAGTGATTAATGTAATTAACACAGAATCATCATTTGAAGTGGTGAATATGTAAATGAAACATTATTGTGCACAGGTTTTGACCTTTTAATGAACGCAGCTTTTAATAAACAACGGTGTTGAAATACAGCATGTCTAAAGGTCCCATTAGTTTGCTTTACTTGTAACTGCACTGAGATGTTTCCAACAGGTGTTCTCCTATTTGTTTAGGTGTTGAGACTGAGTTTTAATTTTGTCAATCCAGTCATTTGAGGAATTCTGCATAGAAGGCTTCACATACTGTATGTATGTATCATTAAAGCCCTCTAAAAGGCAACTGAATGTGGTCTGAATTGGGTCTGTAATATCTGCGCCATGGAGCCCATGACCCAGAGAATGTGTTACTATCCTGAGGTTGCACCTAGGGATCGGTGTTGCAAGGTGTATCCTGTCTCCATTCATTTCCTGCCACTTTCAAATAAAAAGCATAAGAAACCTGCTTCAAAAAATATTGCTTATTATCCTGCATGTACAGCTTATGTTAACAATGTGTCCTTTGATAGTGACATGTAACTACGGTAATGGGGGCTGCCAGCACATCTGCGAGGAGACTGACCATGGCCCAAAGTGTTCGTGCCACATGAAGTTTGTGCTACACAGCGATGGAAAGACTTGTGTAGGTGAGTCCTCTCACCTCGATACAACTACCACAGGCAAGAAATAATGGCTTTTGAATGAGAAAATGTAGAACCACAGATGATAAACTCGGCACCCAATTCCTGACAGCAAATTTAATTAATGTTTGAAATGAGCTATACAGTGATAAAATACAAGTTGAAGTACAGGCCTTGTTATGGTAGCTTTTCCCCTGATCCTTTCCCTTGATCTGTGACATACAAGGACAAAAGGCTACCACCCAATGTGCTTTCCCCTTCGCTGCTGCTGCTGCTCCAGTAATCTCTGTCCCTGCATCTGCTTTGGCTTCTCTTCTGCCTCTTCCTTTTCACTGAACACAGAGCAACAGCTCTCCCTCTTCCTCTCTGTGTCGTGGCCGTGCAGTCAGACCACAACTTTTATTAGCCCTTGGGTCAATTCCTCCACTGCTTCCCGTTGGGGATTAACTCACACACCTGGCTTAACCTTCCACTGGCATTTATCAGTGTTTGCCTCAGCTGACTTAAGTTGAGTAAAAATCTTTCAGCTACTCAGGTATATAGAAATATTATGAAGGGCAGTTTTCCATCAAAGGCAGGTGCAGAAGAGTCAAAGCACAGGTCTCAGGTATACAGGTTGTTTAGCTTTGCAAAATTGCACAGACATTTGATAATTGTGAAACATTAACAGTGAAATTGGTCAAGTGTAAGTTTGAGACACACCATGATTTGGATAAGACATTTTTAATGCAAGGAAGACCAATGTAGTAACAGAATTAGAAGCTACGACTGCAGAGCAGACTGGTGAGGCGGTTTCTGTGTTTCGGTGGCTGTTGGCATTAAGACTTTGGTTTGGATAGTGGCTGATTAGCTCACCATCTCTGGATCCTCTTTATTACTACAGCCCCGACAAGAACCAGACCTATGTCAAGGTCTGGTCATTCAACCCATAATTATTGATGTACCCTGCTAGGCCAGGGAGATTCCACAAAGTTCACCGCAACCAAATTATATGTCCCAGCCTTCTTATTCCCAAGGCAGAGGTGTGCACGATTAGGAGGCAGTCAGCTGGTTAAGCACTCTGGTTTTCCCCCACAGAGTCTGGCCTTACAGAGCCAGAAGGAGGGCTGCTCTGCGGTTAAGACGGGGGTGCTCCGTCTCCTGCTCACTCTATCAGTTAATAAAACCCCAGTAAAACAAACCTTGTACCAAATGAACCACTGGCAGGAGAATGAGTGACAAGAACATTGGACAATTGTCAGTAAGGCATCACTGCTCTGGACCAAGGCTGTAACCCACCATAAGCAACGATTCAAAAGCAATGACCAAAACTATTGTCTTTTATGTCTTTTATTTAAAATGCTGCATAGGTACACACAGGAATTTAAGTTGGTGTCAGGTGTTAGTACAATAACCTTATCCCTCTGGCTGAAAATGATTATTATATTCTAGATATGACTTGTTCCAAAATGCAACAGCTACCTCTGCTTTGAAAAAGGAAATTTCCTTTTAATTTTTTATGCCTTAAAATAACATATTTTCATCCTGAACTCAGCTTTCAAATAGTCTTACATGTTACAAATGAGATACAATAGTTTAGGGGGGTTGGCACATGGTGATAATTATCTCTCAACCACCACAGTGGAAAATAGCAAACAGTGTATAGTGTAGAGCACAACCATAGCAACCACACAAAGTGAAAATATACCCCTGTTTAACCTCGTTATCGATTTGGAAACATTTATGATTCATTAAGTCTCTGCATCGCTCATCCAAAAGGAACATGGCGCATGATTACAAAGCAGCTTCTGCATTGTCGGTGGCTTTGTCGTGAGTCTTTTGGGCTCTCTTAGTATGCTGTAGCTTCACCGTTTAATCAATCTTGTCAGGTGTTCATATGCATTCTTATGTTGTGGTGTCTCTCCTAGCCCAGGCTTTTGCAGCAATATACCATTAGCTGCTCTGTTTTGAAGTGTTGGTCCTTTATCACTCCTACTCACCTCTGTTGATAATTGTGAAAACCGTAGGTATCACGTCTCTTATGGATGGGACATGTCGGCTATTCTCTCTCATACATGCTAATTTCCTTCTGAAACTTCAAATTTCGATTTTTGACTGAAACAGACCTGACAAGATTACATTTATTTTTGCATAAAACGTGTGTAGCCAGTGGGTTCAGATATCAGAGAGGAGCAGCCATCGTGTGGAAGCATTCACGCTGTTAGCACAGCAAGTCATAAACATTCACAAATAGCAGGCAGATGCAGACATGCTCAGGTGTTCATTCATCTGAAGAGCCAACCATGCCGTGCTAAGACATGCACAATCTCACACACACAAGATGCATTTTATAATACAAACAGAAAGCTACACAAACAACAAAACATCTCCAAAATGCATGTGAACACGTAACATAAATATACTGCTCTCATTCCAGGTGGTCTGTGCATTAGGCATTACGATGCGTCTCACAGTGCTCTGTCCTCTTACCTGCTGTGATGCATTGTTTCTGGATGCTGCACGACCACAGGAGCGGATGGGAAATGTGCATGCTTTGTGATGTTGCTTGTCAGAGTTGAGCCATCTACCTGTACTGCTTCACCTGAAAAAAGCTCTGGCCCCGTGGAATTACCAGTTCAGGGCCCAGTCTATGCATATCTATATCATGGGTGAGTGTAGAGTGTAAAGATAAAACTAGATGTGTGTTCAGCAGACCATGGAAAAGAAAGGCTACTTGGCAAGTAGGACTTGTTGAATAAAAAGGCAGCGCAGTAGAAGTCATAGTTTGACATAAATTATACTGTAGGTAAAAACAAGAAGAGGCTAATGCTTTCTGAAATGGTTTTTAGTGACAGCACATACGTTTTACAGCGCGGTCACTGAGTGTTAAGAGACTCAAAATAAAAGCCTAACAACATTAATTCTGAAATGATCTGACCATAAAAGACACCATAAAGTGCAGGCTGGCTGTCTCTGTCTTTCAGCTTTCAGCACTAACCACCACTCTGTCAGTCAAGGCTTGCAGCGCTCTTACTTACTCATATGTGAACGACAAAACTGCACTTTGTCTGCACTGTGTGGAGTATGTATTTGCATGACGGCATGCTGAGAGGTAACACTTTTGCCTTGAAATGTCACGCTTTTCATTTTAGACGAGGACCTGTCATTATAAGTTGTTTGGTAGGATTCTGAAAATAATCCCTGCTGTTTGCTCAGTTGTTACCAGTTGTCTTTAATTTATTTTGTGACAATATAATGTCATTGTTACCTCCTGCGTATGGACATTAATTACTTGTTTACATCTGAAAACATAATCCCTTTTCTTCCATGCTATCCACATTATTCCCAGCCCCAAGATGTCTGCATGAATTATGGATTTGACTTCTGGTTCTGGTTCTGGTTCATTCACTGAACCGGTGTCTACGAGAGTTAGTGCTGTTCTGGATCTTTTCTTTTGGAGCTTTTTGGGAAACATGATGTGGGAACACAACCTATCACATCATGAATGCGATAGTGTGACTACACCTCAACAAATGGCCTCAAATAGCAAATAATAGAGTTAGGTAAGATGTTTCATAGTTGACAAATTGTGCTGTTTGTGGCTGTACCAACAGAGACGCTAAAGTAATTCTGTGGCTTACACAACATTGTGTTAACCTTAAAAATAAAAGTGATTGTCCCCGTCATCCTGTCAGCAGTGGTACAGTCTCCACCATCTACCAAATGCAATTGAATAGTAATGTAGTGCTATGTCTGCCGTGTTTGCTCTTAAATTCACAAGGTTGTTCTACCTCACTTAATAAAACATGCCTGACGTCATTACTGTGAAAGAATTGAAGCCTCAGAGTGTTTTGGGTTGTTCACTGATTCACCTTCAGTAGCAATAGAATCAATAAATTAGTTAAATATGCTACTGTGTATCACCCAAGGCCGCTTTTTCAGGTCATCCTCTCGTGGTGATAGAAGGCAGAAGTATGATCACATTATCTCGTCTAATGGTGTTACAGCCTGTGTTCCTACATCTTTTATAAGGCATAGCAGACCCCTGACTCTCTGACACTACTTCAGTGACGAGAATAACTGGAAGCCTGGAAGATCTAATGGCTTTGAATAAGGTGGATATGCAGTATACCACATCAGATGAGTTCTGATGAGTTCCGTGAATTATATAAACACACAAATGCTGCATGGTTCAAGTGTACCTAAAACTAAAGTGGTGTTTTTACAATGTGTGCATGTGTGTGCGTGTGTAAGCAGGGGAAAGGAGTGTCCAGTCCCCGGCAGCACCACAGCTGTTCCCCAATGGTAAATATGTGTTCCTCTGACTCCTCTCTCTGGGAGCCTGTGGGTGTGGGGAGTAGAGGAAGCTAACCTAGCACACACCGATTGAGCCCTTCCCTTCCCCACAGGGGCATCCGTAGGGCCCCCCCCCTCGCTCAGACCTTTTTCCTCCTTCTGTGAATGCCCTCTCAACAACAGCCACTGCCCATGTCAAACCACACCTTTTCAAAACACAGCTGCACACAGGGAGCCTCTGAGCAGCATTATGAAAGAGATATACTGTCTAGTATCAGTGTGTCTGTGTCATTTCATCGAACTGAGGTCAGTTCGAAAGTGGTGGAACTAAATACATTTACTCAAGTATTGTTCTTAAGTACAGCTTTGAGCTACTTGCACTGGAATTTTTCCTTCTAATACTACTTATTAAATATTATGCATTATTAAAATTTAAGATAGTGGTTCCCAACTGTTTTGACCTGTAACCCCTTTCAGTAATGCGGGTGTTTAGCTGGGCCCCTTGCCAAGATTCAGATGTCTGAGTTGTCAGCTGCTCCACCAAAAGGTCCTCTTCTAAACTTGGTTTCATTTAAATAATTGATTGAGACGCAAAAGATGTAAACTAAGTCTAAACAAAGGTATAGTTTGTGGTTTATAACCCATCCATCCATCCATTTTCCTCCGCTTATCCGGGACCGGGTCACGGGGGCAGCAGTCTAAGCAAAGATGCCCAGACTTCCCTCTCTCCAGACACT